ATGGGCATTGCATGACACAGGTGCACTTACCTACAAGCAGGCACTACACTCATACACATAAAAATAATACATAAAATAATTTTTAAAATCTAAAAAATGAAAGAGAAAGTTTTCCCCCATAATTTATTATTCTAGAAGTAAGTTACCATAATAAATATTAAACTTTGTAAAGTTAAAGTTAAAATGAGAAAGACTTTTTTATTTGATTATAATATGAACACATAAAATGTATGGAGAGTATACTCTAAGCTTTAATGTTTTCACTTTGAACAGGTAAATGAAGAAAGGACCAGGACCAGGCTGGGGCCGGAACACAGTGTTCCTGTTGTTGCTCTGTCCCTCTCTCTCTCTCTCTCTCCTCTCTCTCTCTCTCTCTCTCTCTCCCTCTCTCTCTCTCTCTCTTTCTCTCTCGTCTCTTTGTCTCTCTCAATTGTCAGCCAGCCACAAATACGGTTTTTAAAATTAGAATGAACATGAATAATTTTGAAAGGAAAGAGAACAACTTTAATTTTATTCTGAAAGATATGTGTTGTCTACCTTCTTCTGTTTGGAGGGGTTTTTTCCAGGGAGTCAGACGCTTGGAGGACATGCTACAGGGAGGCACATATTTCCACACCATCACCTAGGTGAAAGGTCAGAGAAGGTCTGTTCACATGAGACATGAGGGTACTAAGGTCCAGAAATGTTAAGGGTTTTGCTTGGTGTCACACAGCTTTAATAGAATAACATGAACTATATATGTGAAATTTTTTTCTGAATCCATTATGAAACTCCTCAAAAAAAACTCTTCAGTTACAATGTTCTTAAATGCAGTTTGAAGTAATTACATAAGAAACTGGTTGCTATGTTCATGGGTATTACTCTTTTTCAGTCCTGAAATCAGTCTGCTAACCCTGATATGTTAGTTTCTGCCTGACAATCACTTAGCAGTGACTTTCCCAGGTTTCTTTTTGGGGATCTGAAAGTATTGTCAAAAGTTTCTGGTTCCTAAAATACTGTCCCACTACCTACCTGCCCTATTCTCCAAAAATATGCAAGAACTAAACAAAGAAATGGAAAATAAACAGACATGGTGGAACACACTTTTAATCCCAGCACTTGGGAGTCAGCGGCAGGCGGACTTCTCAGAGATCAAGGCCACCCTGGTCCACATTGTGACTTCCAGGCAGGCTGGGACTAGGGAGACCCCATCAAAAAAACCCAACTATGGTAATAAAGGCCATCATTGCAACTGTAGAAAATGGGAGAAATGGTGAGTTTTTGAAGGTAAACTTCTATAGTAGAGAAAACAGAATTTCAGTTCCCTCAATTGGCTGTCTCCAGAGCCACATCAAATCTCTCAAACTCTGCTGGTGGGGATCGTATCCAATTTTTATTTCCTCAATATTGTTTCTCAGCCTCAATCCCAAATTGTGAAGCAATTCACTATTAGCTCAACATCCACCAAGACTAATCTCCTGAATTTTCCTTCTTTCAAGTGTTGCCAAACACTGACCCGAGTTCTCAGAATGTTGCAGTTGGAGAGGCTAGGAATGACTCACAACAGTTGGCTGGAATTCCGTGTGATAATCCTTCCCTTCTCTAGGGAGCTGCTGAGGTAGACCTTGATTATTTGCCAAGTCTGCTGAACGCATTAGACCTTCTGTCTGCTCTTCTTGAGCCAGTTTTAGGTGGCTTGGATCTTTTCTTGAGGTTCTAACTAAGGCTTCCCTCTCCCAGTGTCTCTTTTTAGAACTCTCCCAGAAGTCTGGAATAGTCAGTGATGATGGCCATGCAGTGAAATTTGCATAGGCTATCATCTATCGTTACTTTCAGATTTCCACTGTAATCCCTAAGCCACTGATGGGCTAGGGATTTATATCTTTGATTTAAGATAGAAAAATCTTGACCATTCCTCCTCTAATTCTATTATTCTTTTCTAAGAAGTTATGACATCTAAGCCAAACCCATGAAATCCAAACAGTGAAGAACAGAACCATTCAGTTACAATGTTTAGGTAGCAAGCCATCTCTGAAATAATCACCTTATTTCCACCAGGAGACTATCATTTTAATTGAAAGTTAATTTCTCTCTGACCTACACTTTGTGTACAGTTGTATATTTTGAAGTCAATGTATCTGTCTTTTATGGCTTGAAGATAGTTGTATGCCAAGAAAAAACTCTAACAAGCCATAAGTGTAATTAATTGAACTCCACCTTTGTGTATACAGCACTAAAAGGATATACAATTTAGGCTTCTATAACCTAATCAAAGGCATACTACAAGCAAGAATAGAAAAAAGGAGCACATATGATCACATAATTGATCAAGTGATTTTTTTTACAGCCTGCATGCCTATTTTAGGGCCCTTGTCCCGTCACAAGGACATGAGTATGTTGCCGCTAAAATTCTTGTAAACTTTAGGCAGAAAAGTAGCATCAAGCATTATGATATTCATAAGCTGTTTTGTCTTTTTTCTCCTGATGTTCTAATTCATACAAACAGGACCAGCCTCTTACTGCAGGTTTAAAGATTTCCATTCATTTAATAACCTGAGAACAGAGTTTGGCTTTTATTTCTTTACTTAACTAAATTATACACAAGTAAGATTCAGGAAGTTGACTGTGCCTTCTCAGAAAATACAAATGATAACCTCCTTTCCCCATCCTTTTTAAAAGCGACTGGTTTAGCATGCATGCTGACAAAAATCAAGGCGCTCTGCATTTCATTTAATTGAGTTATAAACACAAAAACTCTCAGACCCTGCTGCTGCTCTATTGATGCGTGTGGATGTGTGAATTTTCTCCATGTGTCTGCTCTGTGTCCTTCAGGACACCCACAGTGGAGATGAATCACCAAGGTGTGTATTAGTCTGACGGTCCCAGGAAGCCTCATGACTAAAGGAAACAGCTATCACTCGGCTCCTAGTGTTCCGCTCACTGACCCCAAGGCCTTCATTACTGTCTAGTGCACAGGGCTAAGTTGAAAATAGGCAATCAGAAAATGACTTCACTGCAAATGAGCCCGGCAAAATTCGAGGTTTTGTGAACATCGACTGTTCCTGTGCTGTCACATTGCTGCTGAGTGTGTCTTTATTTCAGGTCACTTGGAAACCCCCACTTACCCGGGACGGAGACATACTAAGCTACGAGATCCGCAAGTGGGACCATCACATCACAATAACCAATGTGACTGCCTCAGCATTCAGACACATAATCCCTCATCTGATCCCCTTCACTAATTATTCAGTCGCTATTATTGCTTGCTCTGGGGGTTACAGGTACCTAGGAAGGTGGGAAGAGAGTCTAGCTACCTCCACCACCACCCACCCTGCCCTGCCTCAGGAACTTGGCCCATTGTCAGTGATTCCCCTGGGTGAATCCCATGTCAGGATTTCTTGGCAGCCACCATTCAAGCCGAATGGACCAAACTTGAGGTAAAGTAATTGTGCTTTGGAGTTTTTTATGGGTTTGTCATGCCAAGAAATAGGAAGAGGAGGCTTTACTCACATCTGAACATAGAACTGACTCCATCCAGGACCCTCCCCGCCGCAGCCCACACATGTGGTCACTGTCCTGCAGTTATTTCCCATATTACCATTATTGGAGACTTGCGTAGATTGTAGTCAGAGACACAGATGAAATGAAAGCAAGCTGTGGTATAAAATGTTTTGTAACACCCTGAACTTGACACTTGGCTGAAAAGTAGAGTGGATAATATTATCATTGATATAAAATTTTGGTGGTAGAAGTTTTAGGAAATCATAAAGTAGGTGAGGTTTTTATATTTCTACTTTGCGTGAAACTTGCTTCAACTCTGACATAGAAGAAACCAAAATATCGTTTTTAGTGATAATCAAAAAATGTGGGTATAACTGATTTCAAATTAATTGGCATTATGATACTTGAGCTAGAAAAAAATAGTATATCTGAAAATACTTCATAATCGCACTCAGATGTTGTCTGTACTTGTGTGCATGCAACACACATACACACAACGCCCCAATAAACAGCCTGAATCTTGGTAATAACGTTAGCGATAATCATGATGTTCCTGCTTTTCTTCTGTTTTAGATACGAGCTTCTGAGACGTAGGATCCAGCAGCCACTTGCATCAAATCCCCCAGAAGATTTAAATCTGTGGCACAATATTTATTCAGGAACTCAGTGGTTTTATGAAGATAAGGGTCTTGGCAGGTGCGATTACAAACACTAGAAAAACAAATGTTGGCATTTAGTTTGGGGCATGTTGAACAGTTCAAAGTATTTCAGCGTCTTGGTTGTGTGGACGTGTTATCAGTCATGCAATAGAATATATTCTGTTATTATCTATGGTATTAGTCACAGGCGTGCAGCGGCCTCTGTGTGTAATGCTTCCCATCGCAGCTGCATGCTTATAAGTCTCTGAAGTCAAACTTGGAGACGTTTGAGCTCTAACCTGTTACCTTTGTCACAGCTCTATCTAGACGTGAAACTTACTGAGTAAAGGAATTTGGTAATGTTGAACATATGCAGAACTGATTAGCGGGCATTTGTATGTGCTTGTTGTTAAAGGGAGGAAATGGCTTATAAGTCATTGAATTATTGCAACTTGAAAGAATTCAATTTGGAGTTTAAAGTTAAAACATAAGCAAGTAAGTGATAGCAGAAAAAGAATACCACGTGGTTGGATCTGAATTTCCTTCCACCCTGTGTTAAAGAACACTCTTTGTGAGCTCAGAAGACTCCCTTGATTTTCCTGTGGCCTCACTTCTGCTGCCTGCCACTCTCGGGACCCAGTGACTTGTAAATCTTCTTGGTGCGGGCAACATAATCAACTTTCAAAAATTATGTGTACTGTTAGTTTGTGAAAACTTCTCAGTCACGTTTTCAGTAACTTTTCTATCAGTTTGTTTATTTTTCTAGATCACCCAATTTAGCTTTTGTCTGAGCCTCATTCCAAAACATGCCTTCCATTCCAACCCCAGCCCCTGTGATCACTACCTGTGACACTGAGTCATCTGCTTCCAGGGCTCCCCATTATGCCCTGTCCCACCCCCTGACTAGATTTCCCTTCAGGTTCTTGTCTAGAAGCTTCTTCCTCCAGGAAGCTCCCCTGCCCACCCTCTTGCTGGTCTGAATGTGAGTTGAAATAAACACACATAGTTGCTACTTCTAGACGATTGGATGTGTGGATAACAAACGTGTAGAGGGGATATTTTGACTAGCCTCATAAGGCTCAATGTCAAGGACATTTTTTAAACCAGGACTTACAAAAGTGTATTTGTTTGTTTTTATTCAAGTAATTTCAGGGTTGGAGATGGAACTCAGTTGGTAGAGCAGAGCACCTGCCTACCGTGCATGACATCCTACGTTCAGTCTCAGTGCCATGGATGTAGAGGCCAAAAGGTCAGAAGTTCAAGGTCATCCTCAGTTACATAGTAATTGTTTACATCCCTGGTAAACAGCTTGAGGCTGAAAGATGATATGCATTTTTGTAACATTCAAAATGTGCAGAACAAGTCTTCTTAAGGTGACCAAGTTCTGTTCTCTATCTTTCTACCTTTGCAAGTCCAGTAATGTTCATGATTGCTTTCACCCAAAGTAGACCATCTCACAAATTTAAGAGGAGCTGGAAATGAGCCCAGTGGGTGCTGGGGTTTTCTGATAAAGGGAACAAAAGTCTGGTCTCTGGCTTGCTCAGGTGCAGTTTTGTCCACCTGACCACAGCCAGGGCTCTGGTTCCCACTGGTTGGAGCAGCTTCCACTGTAGACAGGAAAAGGACATAAAAAACTATGCTCAGCCCATACCGTCTCACCCTAAGCTGTGGGAGCACAATGGCCCTCAACCTATGCCATTTCCCTTGGAATAAAATGTGGGGAATTGCCTTTGGGGTACCTCCACCTCCACCCCTGTGGGACACCAAAAACCATAGATGGTCAAGTCCCTTATGTGAAACTGTGAAGTATTTACATCTAACCTACCCGCAGGCTCTTACATGCTTAAATCATCTCTACGTTGCTTACAGTACTTACTGGTGTAAATGCTGTGTAAATGGGTGGTATACTGTATAGTTTAGGCAATAGAAATCTGCACATGTTCAGTAACAGATGCAGTTATTTTTTCCAAATATTTTCCATTCATGGTTGATTGAATCTGAGGATGAGGAACCCCAGGGCACAGAGAGCGGACTTTGTTTATTGTACTGATTTATCCATTTGGCTCTGGTTATTATTTTAAGTTCTTAATTGAATTCTTATACTTTTAGAAAGCATTTGTAATTACCTATTCTCCCTAGATTCCAGTGCTTCCCATTTACCGATTTAACGTCTGTCTACATAAATAAACAGAACACTAGAGTGTTTCTTCAGATTTTGCCTTTTATTTAAATCGGAATAGCTGCATTTAGAATCAGCTTTTTTAAAGTGACAGTTGATATAAAATATATAATTAACTTAGCAGTCACTGGGTATCCCTTTATAAATATATTCACAAAACTAAACAGAAGCTGAATTCCATTTCCTTATTTTAGTGATGTATTTGCATAGGTTGGTTTTATTTTAATATGTAAAAATTTATATAAAAATACACCAATGGAATCTAAAATATTTCTATATCCTGAAATTCAGATCATCCTAGTTGCTATTGTCGTCCTTTTTATCGTCTATAGAAATCAGAATATTCAGCCGCTTAAATTTTCTAAATAATTTAATGCAAAGAAAATTACCTTTTGTTCTTCTGGTTATCTTAGGGTTAGGGTTTATTTCTTCCCCAATTACACAAAGTTGCTTTATTGTTGATTTTGGATCTGCCTGCATAGACACGGGCAGCCACCATGTGACTGCAAGTTTGTTTCTTGTCAATGTCTAACTTCTCTTCCTAAATAACTCAGCAAAGTGGCCACATTAGGGGTGGCTGACGGGGCCGTAACTTTGGGCTTCCTGACATTTTCATGACTAGAAAGATCTGGCAAACATGTCCTTATCTTCTGACGCTGTGCTTGAAGAAGAGAGTGAGGACCTCCTTTACTTTCAACATCAATCTCCCCTCACAATTGTCGACACCAACTTCTGCCTCTGTTCCTGAGTGATCAGATAAAACTGCCCAAAGTTCAGTACAGCGTTCCTGCCTTTGCCTGTGGGAATGAAGGAGAACATGAAAGTTGAAGACATAATAGGTTTTTGTTTTAATTTTGGGAAAATATTGACTTGGTTGTTGTAGCTACTGAGTTGAGGAAGCCAGGTGGATGCCCCCCTCCTTTATTTACAGATTCTTCAGAGTAATTCCCAGGCAGTGCATCTGTGCCATCCCCTAAACATCTTCTAATTGTGTTCACTTTAAATGAAAGCATTCAAAATTTATTTCCATCTTATTCTCAAGAAAAGGTTCCACTTGTTTAAATGTTGATGGTTAAACTAAAGATATCAATTTATTAATATAGGTTCAATTGTTTTTTTAAACGTATTACAATGAAAATATCCCAAGTCCTAAAAGAAAAGGCAGTTTCTGTGGGGGGGCGGGGGAAACACTTTCAAAGGAAGAAAACTTTGAATCCTCTTCTCTGTAGTTAGAGTGCGCACAGATCTGTTGTTCAAGTGAATGCGCACGGATCTGTAGTTAGAGTGAGTGCACACAGATGGCATTTTCTGCTTTAATCATATGGAAAGGTGGCATGGTCACATCCCGCGACTTGTGTTCCTATACTGATAGCGTTCCTGTCAGAGATATTGTGTATGGAACTGGGCTGGGGACTGGCAAGATGGTTCAATGGGTAAAATGCTTGTTCTGCAAGACTGTGGACCTGAGTTTGACCCACAGACACACCCTTAAAAGCCAGGCACAGCAGTACATGTGTGCAGTACTAGCACTGAAGGAATCAAGGCAGGGTGATCTCTGGGGTTCGCCAGCCAGCAAGTCTAGGCAAAATCACAAGCTCTGTGTTCAGTGAGAGACCCTGCCTCCAAAATACAGTAGAGAAGCAATTGAGGAAGGTATCCAGATGTCGACATCTCGCCTCCCCACAGACCTGCACACAAAGGTGCACCTATGCACATGTGTATCACAGACACATACACACTCATGCGAAGTGAACTCTGTACACAGGAAGGGAAAGCGAAAAGCTGCTTTCTCCTGGGACTAGGATGAATCCGTCCCCTTATTTTCTTCCCTCGTGCCAAACTATGAATGGAAGTTGGGTGTAGGAGTAAAAGCCAACTTCTGATGACTTTGGTGTGCCGTCTCACAGCGATGTATTAACTGAATGAGGAAAGAGTGACCTAGTCCACATTCCAATCACATTGGTAAAATTGCAGAGCTTTCTCCATTGTTGATTTTTTTTTTTAATTTTTAATAACTACATGATTAGAAGAAGCATTTCACTACAGCTTTAACATATTCAGTAACACGCACCAGAGCAAGAGTATCTCTCTTTCACGAGTGGGTGCAAGTTTCTAGGTTCACAGTTGAGTTAATACAGTTATACAATATTGAACTCAGTATA